TTCTTGTTAGACACCATTATATATACATGCATGGTTCGTCAGCAGTTTCTGCTTCTCCTGTACAGTGATCAATTAATGCAGCATTTCCATCAAACTATGTATTTCTTTCTTTATTAAGATCTGTGTTTGCTTATAGTCGTATGTGTTGCAATTTTGTAAATATTAGTATAATCAATGGTCTGGTCTAGTTCTTCTTTAATATGAGATGCAGCCTGAATGCACTTAATAATGTTGCTAAAACAACTTCTGTCTTGTCAGGGAGTGTGAAGACGATCTTTGAGGAGGAGCTGGGTGTCGTGGACTTCTGTCTCAGTAATAAAACCTGTGTCCTTTATGTGTCAGAAAGCGATATGGTGGCAGGAAACAGCTACAGGAGGAATATCGTCCGATTTAGAAATGTAAATCACTGATTAGCTCTGATCAGATTGTGATATTTTGGAATCGTTATATTATGATGATTTATGGTCAAATAAAACCGAACTGGCCTTATTCTTGTAGGCTAACAGCGGTCTGCAGGCTATTGTGATTGTGGAAAAGACTCCCCTGAGCGAGCAGTACTTCAGCGGATTGCAGAAGTTTGTGGTTTTGGAGCTTGGTTTGACTCTGCTGCCTGTGTCCACCGCTCCTGAAGCAGCTCAGCTCATAGCACAGCTGGTGAGTGAATGCCACATCTTTTTATTTGTATATAATAGCATACTTGTACACACACAATGATGTATTTTGATTATGAGAGTGTGTTTTTGTGCTGGAACCATGGCTGCTTTAGGCCAGTCTAATGCTGCGTTCAAGTCCTCCTGGGACGTTCGTACTTACGAGTTGACAAGTCGTAATTACGACGTCAGGTGCGTTCAAGTCAGTTTAGTCGGCACAAGATGGCGGTGTACCTTCTTTTAATAAATTACAAGAAAATACAACAGGGTCTGCATTTTTTTACTTGGCTTTCAGCTGTGTAACAAGAACATGACCAATTTAAGTTTATAGGACAACGAAACTATCAATTTAAACAAACATTTACCGTCAACTATACGTTGCATCCATCGATTCCGCCATGTTTCTCATTGACACACCCCCAACTCGGAAACTCGGGGCTTAAAGAAAATGTCGAGTTTCCCACTCGTAATAACGACTTTGTGGTGGCGTTCATGTGCGTTCAACTCGTAAATACGATCTATCCGACATGACTTGAACGCACCATTAAACCACCAGTAGGTGGCAGTTCATCCCTCTCTTAATGAGTGATTCATTGAAACGGTTTGTTTAAAACGGTTGATTCATTTAGAAATTAATCAAATTACTTTTTTTATGAATCGGATCATTGATTCATTGAATCAAATGATTTGTTTAAAAGTACAAATGCATTCAAGTACAAAACATTTTAGTTTTGCTCTGGCTTTTTTGGAACTATTTTCCGTTGGCGAAACAATATTGTAACTCACTCAGTATTAACTTATCATTTGTTGAACTGTTGTATAAAATCAATATCACATCCACAATCACGCTCATGTACTGATATTCTAGAAAGCTGCACTCTTCAGTGCACAACTGCACTCAAGCAGGATGGATCCATGCGGTTTATGCCAAATTTTGACCCAACCGTCCAAACGTGGCAGCAGAAATCTAGGCAACCTACTGTATTTACAATCTTCTACTGTCCAGTTTTGGTGAGCCTGTGCGAATCGTAGCCTCAGTTTCTTGTTCTTAGCTGACAGGAGTGGCAGCTGCTGTGGTCTTCTGCTTCAAGGTTTGACATGTTGTGTGTTCAGAGATGTAACAAGTGATTATTTGAGTTATACTGTTGCCTTTCTATCAGCTTGAACCAGTCTGGCCATTCTCCTCTGACCTCTGACATCAACAAGGCATTTTTGCGCACAGAAATGCTGCCTACTGGATATTTTCTCTTTTTATGACCTTTCTCTGTAAACCCTAGAAATTGTTGTGCGTGAAAATCACAGCAAACCAGCAGTTTCTGATATACTCAGACCACCAATAACCATGCCACTTTCGAAGTCACTTAAATCACTTTTCCTCTCCGTTCTGATGCTCGGTTTGAACTTCAGCAGATCATCTTGACCATGTCTACATGCCTAAATGCATTGAGTTGCTGCAATGTGGTTGGCTTATTAGATATGTGCGTTAATGAGCAGTTGAACAGGTGCACCTAATAAAAGATATATTCTTGATCACCCTGTTGGATTTATACAAAACATTTCTGCAAGGCCATATGTTCTTCAGACATCGATGTAAAAATATATGTTTCAGTGCTGTTCATTGAGAGATCCTAACGCATTCGTCCTCCGCAGGTTCTTGGAGAGAACAAGGAGAACCCGTTCCGCAGGAAGAGCGTGTGCAGACT